TGATGTTCAGGATGGAGCAGAGCATTCTTTGGAATCATTTTAACTTGCCAATATCATGGCTATGTAGAAGGCATGGCCTGCATGAGATATGACCCATCATGAGGTTGGTTGCACTGCTAAAAAAAAATTTAATTTTGAAAGTGATTTCATATTTAATTTTTTTTTTTTTTTTTTTTAATACAGAAGACCATACTAATCGAACCATAGTAATCTGCCTTTGAAGTGGGGGGTGTTTTTGTCTGTGTGTTTTTTTTTTTTTTTTTTTTTTTTTTTACTGTAATTAAAAAAAATTGAAGCCATATAACTGATGACTGTGTGCTTAACATCTGTTGCTGCATGTAATTTAATTTTTATCTATTTTTATTTTTTAAAAAAACTAAGGTGACAGTATTTGTCTTCTTCCACATGTGAGACATGACTGAATTCTCAAATCCTGAGGATAAAGGTCAACAGCCAAGTTGTGAATTGAACTCTATCTTGTTTCATTGGAGGGGAGAAAAAAAAACATGTAGACATAACATAGCAATTCCTAATGGTAACTCCAACTAAAAACATAGATTACCTTCTACAATGACTCAATTATTCCAGGATGCAATGAATGTATTGATTGCTTTCAATGTATGTATTAGTTTGCCTTCATTTCTTATGTAAACTATACAAGTGGTTCTGGAATTGTTATGAAGCTTTATAGGAAATAATATCCATTCTGAAATGATTTAATTATTGCCATTGATTTTTTTTTTTTTTTTAAATGAAAAATGCTCTTGTGTTTACTATGATTTTTTTTTTTTTCCAATATATTTCTAGGCAATGATAAAAGCACATTTTGTGGTGTTTAACAAGACCCTGTGAATAATCATGTAATGTCTGGAGAAAATCATAAAACTAAATCTGAATTTTTCTGTTTGATTTGTAAAGGGAAAAATGAAATAATAGAAGCAAAAAAAAAAGGTATTCCTTTTTATTTCTGCATGATGGATGACTGACTGGCACCTGTGAGTCAATAATTTTCATGGCAATATATCTGCTTTATTTTTTTTTTTTTTTTTTTTCCTCTATTAATCCCAACAAAAGAGACAAACACAATTTCAAAGTCTCACCTTCACTAATGCAATTTTTTATTTATTTATTTTTTTATTTATTTTTTTATTTTTATTTGGGCCATACATGAAACTTAGGAGTCACATGACTTCTTTTAAATTTGATTTCCCAAAAGCTAAAGCTATCAAATGGTATTTTTCAATTCTTGTTATGCCATTTCATTTAGTCATCAGGTAAAATATTCTGTTTTAGTCTCCCTTCCTCCTATATCAGTTATGTACAGTTTCACTTAAGCAATCAAACCCCACAAATATTGAATGAGATCATGATTCCAAAGCTTTTTAAATTATCTTCTAAACAAGGTGGAAGCTCTTAACTTAATAAGGCTGGGGTATGGAGACTTAAACTTTTTTACATTGATTAAATTGATTTTTTTTTTTTTTTTTTTTTTTTTTTTTTTTTTTTCTTTTCGTTTCTTACTGTCCAATTTATAAATTCTTCTTATAGACGAATGTGTTGGGTGATATGGGTGTCTATGTCCATTGATTTCTGCTCTGAGTTTTATGCAATTTGCATCAATGTCAGTGTAAAATGTATTTGACAGCTTGGCTGTGAAGAGCTTCAGTCAGGCAATGTTCAATTTGAAACACACTCGCTAATTCGGATTTTCTCAAAATGCATAACTGCTCATTTTGATATCTGAAAAATTTTTTTTTTTTTTTTTTTTTTTTTGACAAGTGGATGTAATTTTGGTGAAATTCAGTTTGGAAAGTTTTTAATCTGCCTCCCTGGATAAGGATTACTACCCCCCCCCAAACACACTGGAATCTTTAGTAATTTTGCAGCAGTGGTTTGCTTTTTGCCAATTTTGGATTTATTGTACCAATATTGAATTTAGCATTTGTATGAGGTAGCTGCTATTAGCAGTATTTTTGATTAAAGCTATTTAAATATGATTTTGTGACATTGGGCTAGATGATGTATTTATTTTAAGCAATTTTTTAATCCTTGATCTGACAATGATTGTATATAGTGGAGACATGTCTGGATGCTGTGTACAACAGCCATATGAAAGACACAATCTCACAAGGCTATTTAAGAGCATAGATCTCTAGTTAATAATTTGGTTTTGTAGCATCTTACAGTGCTGGACAAAACTACCTCCAGCACAGCCTATTCTATATTCAAACTAAACTTGTTATAAGTTATCCATACACAAAGGGATCTGAAATGTGTAGATTTTATTTATGGATTTAGGGTAGTTACCATGACTACTTTTATTCCAATTTAGTCATATACATTGCATTATAATTTGATAAAAAAAAAAAATAAAAAAAAATATTCTCAGAGTTTGTGCCATATTTCACTTTGTGTTCTTTCTGATTCATTGATATGATCTGTTTCCTTCAAAATTGTTCAGTGTTGACAAGACAAATTCCACAGGAAGTGAAACATGGCAGCTGATCTCTCTTCTGATATAAGACTAACTTCTCGGTAGTTGGGTGGGTATTGGCTGGTTATATTCAATACCTCTATGACCAAACTGATTACATTCCATCATCACTGATCAGACCTCGAACTGCTTCCAGTGATGATGTATATAAGAGTTCCACTTGATTCATCAAGATGCAGGTAAAATGATCAGCTCTTTGTAGCACTCCTCATAATATTCTCTACCTTCATAAGAGATAAATCAGGCTGAAACTATACACACACACACACACACACACACACACACACTTAGTACATCTGGCAGCAAGGACTCTGATTGGGAGGTTTTGTGGAGCATAGAGCCACCTCTTAATTGTTGTTCCCAGATCTACCCTGAACTGGGGTGGTAGCACCTGTTAGGGGCCCAGCTATGGGCAAATAGTTAACCTCAAAGGCTGGGGTCAAAACACTGTGACAGTATAAACATTTTTATAGAAAAGTACCAGCAATATATTTTTGTCGGGGGGGGGGGAATAACCAGCAGTGCATTTTTGTAAAAGAAATTACTAATATTCCCAAGAAAATTTCATTTCAGCATGAAATGGCCCATAAAGAGTTGATATGCCACTAAACAAAGAAACACTTATTTAGTGTTGGGCTGTTTTCATACTATTAAGATATTTAATGGCTTTGATCCTCTTTCCAAGGATGTTCTGTGATTCCTAAGTAAACTCCGTCAGGTTTGGCATTCAACTTTAAACATTGCTTGGTATATTATGTTTGTTATTGACACCTACCATCAATTGAAAATCAGTATTCACACTTACAAGATGGTGCACAATTAACACCTGTCTTCTACAGAACTTAATTATTTCTTTAGTCACTGCATCATATCTGTGCAGGTGTAACTTGATTTAACAGTTTTTGTTAAATATTTTATTTGGTACGTATTCTTTTGGGATGTGCTTATCAATTAAACTAATGACATTAATAATCTTTTGTATTTTAAGGGTACTTTTTATTTATTTTATTTTTTTAATTATTTACAGTGAAATGTCTACACCATCCTAGATCAGTCTTGTAAAAAGAAATGTACTTATCTGGAAGAATCAGTTTTTTTTTGTTTTTTTTTTTTTAAACTATCTTTAAGTCAGGTGATCCATTTTAGCCATAGAGGTCCTTATTTAATGAGATCTCAAACATTCATGCTGCTAGACAAAAATAAATGTTGGTCAGTTATGTGCCTTGTGTGATACATACTTAGGTGATCATATATCTTTCAATACATGACAAGGCAGATTTTTTTTATTGCAATAGGTTGCCATTTCTTTCTGCAGAAGACCATCCAAGGCTATAGAACCTGGTCTAGCCTGTTATTTACCCATAGCGGGGAGGAGAACAGGATTCATACCTTTCCCAAGGGTATTAGCATGTAAGTGAATGTAATGGGTTTTACTGTTTAATAAAAAGAGCATTTAAAGTGATAAAATGTATATACCTATCATCATTAAGCAGCAAGTGTTCTTTGTAAATGTTTATTAAGAAGGATATTCGTTCTGTCTCTGAACTTATCCATCATTTTCAAACTGCAAATAACTTCCCACAAATCTGGCTGAAATCAAAACATGTCCAAACTTTCAACTCCCATGAGTCATCTTCAGGGGGTGAGAAAAACCACCAAAAGAATGACAGCTCCTCCCTAACAAAACACAAAAACTCTATAAATCCAATAGCAAAAAAGGTTAAGATTATTGAAGCTATTTACAGCCAACAAAAGCAATCCTCTATTAATAATTATAATCTCCCATATTCTTCAATGCATATGTGAATGTGATAATTGCATTTTGCTGATTAGCATTTTCTGCATTATCATTTGTAATGACACTTCTAGTCCTACTTAAATAACTTCTGATCTTTTCACTTTTTGTGCTTTATATATATATATATATATATATATATATATATATATAATGGGAGAAGATTGTATGTAGATTTTTATAAATTTATCTTCTATACTGTCAATATGGCAAAACCTCAAATACAAAAAATAGTCTCATTAAATCATAAAGGACAAAACTAGAAGTCTTCCTGATATACTTACCAAACATTCTTTATCAGACTGAAGACTATATATATATATATATATATATATATATATATATATATATATATAATATAAAATGTGTGTGTGTTTAAAATAGTATACAGAAATCCCCCCCAAAAGTTTTTAAGAAATTTGCCAAATGGATGTTTCATTGAAAATAGATTTGTTTTTGTTTTTTTGCCTTTCTAAGCTTCATCAGATCCAAAAACTAAAAGAAATGTGTATTTGTGTGTATGCTTAAATAATTAGCATTTTTTCCTCTAAGCTGGCATTTCTCATGATTAAAGAAGAAAATGAGCAACTTTTTAAAAAGATGTTAATATTTATCCTGTATCTTTATAATTCTTCATGCCAAAAAAAATCTCTCACTCACTATCACACACACAACTTTTTTTTTTCTTTTCTTTTTTTCTCCAACAGAACTATGGGCAGTAACATCTCCTGTTCACGAAATATTCAGGAAGCTGAGATTGTTCCAGACTCTTGTGAGCCCTTGACCGCTTCCCAAAAGAATGATGGATGTGCAGAGCTAGGTCACCTCCTTGCATATGAATACCCTTTTGAGAACTTGGTGTTTGAAGGTGGTGGAAATAAAGGAGTAGCCTACTGTGGGTCATTAATGGTAAGTATTTCATTCAAATAATTTACACATTAAGGAAATAGATTCTTATGTAAATATTTATTTACTTTTGACCATACAAATTTGATGGAAAATAAGGTTTACAATAAACAAAATATGGTTTTATATAAAGTGGATGTTGCTGAACCAATAATGTTTCCTCTCTGTTTATGGATTGCCATGAATCTTTTTAGAACTGTTAGTGATTTCTTGCTGTCTTCTCTATGGTGATTTGATTGAGATACTAATTAGTTAAGTAACTGTTCACTAATTGGTTCTTCTGCTCTTTCATAGGTTTTCTTTTTCATCCTACAGGGTTGCTAACTTCCCAACAAAGTTGGGTAGAACTGGTTTAGTCACCAAACATCTAACAAGACATAAAAAATCAAAAAAAAAATCAGAATTTAACTTTTGGAAAAATCTCACCTTGACTATTCTTAGGTTAATAAAAAAAAAAAATTTTTAAATTCTACTTGGATTCAATATTAAATTAAATTACTTTCAGTTAGTTTTTTATGTTCACCCACATACAAGGTCCAAGAGCCAATCAAGGTAGAGGGTTACTGTGTGGTGTTATATCAGTGTAAGAAAAGGCAAGAAGTGCAGTTCATAAGGTTATGTAGGAAAGATAACGGTTAAATCTAGACTTGAAGAGTTCAAGATGGTAGTGATCAGGCAAACATCTTGCCAGGAGCCTGTTCCACAAACCAGTAATTCTTGGAAAGAAGCTGTCAGTGGAACTTGTTATTAATGAAATATGTAAAGAATAAGGATAATTCATCTGTGTGGCATTGTGGCTCCCAGCCTCAAGAATCTGGGTTGGTAGAATTAATGAATGTAATTTGTCAGAATATTTGCCATGAAAATAACAATAGAGTAATGAAAGGCTAGCAACCTTTTGTCTGGGGGGGGAAATGGGTTATAAGGTGGGGAAATAATTCATCACCCACAAGTCTGCATAAATGCTTTTGAACTCTTATCAAGACAGACAAGTGAGAACTAGACAGTTCCAACCCAGATAGGGAAGCAATACTCCTTTTTTTGTCTGAACTGGCTCTTGTGAAGATAGAGCATAGCAGGGGGAGTCAGATACTTATTGGGAGTGGTACAATGAGCCAACCATTTTTCCAGCATCTTTAGCAATAGATTGGATATGACTTCCACTTGAAGTCCGGGATGAACTTGTATCCTGAAGTCTGTTCAAAGCAAGGAGCCTCCTCTGCTGAACACTCATCCACCATGAAAAATGAAAGTTCATGGTCTGCTCAGTTATGGTGAAATTACTAGTTTTGTTTTGGACACATTGAATTTTCAAAGCTAGTCCATCTTTGATTGATTCACCAGGTCTTATGGTTCAGAGGAAAGTTTAACTGCTAGGTTCATTTTATTCAGATTTTTGGCATTCACAAAGATATTCCCTAAATATCAAATTTGGTTCTTAGGAAGATTGATTTAGAGCAGAAAGAAGGTAGGATTTAGGAGAGAACACTGAATGCTGGCATTGGTCAGTATGATCATTAACAACCTTCTGGGACCTATGTGTTTGGAAGAGTAACTTCAATTTTGATAAGAATAAAAATTAAACTTCTTTTTTCTTTGGGTGGATAGAGATGAAAGCTAGAAGTGGGATGAAGAAACATGCAAATTAATAAAAGTAATACATTTCATCAATAAAAAAAAAAATGAGGTTCTGAACAATTTTTCATTCCTAAACAAAGAATAATAATGTGAACAGGAGTCAAGCTCCTTCGGGCTGACCCCTTGCCAGTAAGGTAAAAAAAGGTTACATATTTTTTATGTAATATTAGTCTTCCAATATGGCAGTGAATGCATGACAACCTTCTTTCAGATAAAAAGGAAACTTAAGGTAACAGAAATATGGTTCTACAGAAGGATCCTGAGAATACTATTGACAGAACATGTCATGAAATTTTAAGGTTAATGGAAACAAAGAATTTAGAATCAGAAAATCAGTTTAAATTTCTTTAGCCACATGAAAATCTCAAACCACATGAAGAAAGGACATATTGAAGGCAATAGATGTTTACCTAACAAGTTTGTAAAATGGATAAAATAGGGAGTGAAGAAAGTGAAAAGGCATCTCTCAGTATGAGCTACAAAGGATAGGAAGTTATGGAGAGACACTATCGCCCACATCCTGAAGGGAAACTGCAGATAGAAGAATGCTGTAGATGATTGCATTAAATGAAACTACTAGGTTCCAACTTAATGGCCATATTGCTAAAATATTTTGTCTGTCATATTTCTTCCACATAAAACCTGAAGCAAAAACCATGAAATCATGCATACCAGACTGTATGGAGAGGAGAGAACACCATCCTCTTCAAAAGGAAGTAAAAATATTTTTTAAAAATATGTGACAAAGTGATTTTACTTGTTCTGTAAAAGCACAAAATTTTGCCTGGGAACCAATCCTCAAAAAAGTTAACCCTTACGGAATGAATAAAGACTTCTATATAAAGGAAAAAAATTAACATAAACACTGCTCTAACAGATATGCAAAAATTTCTTAGAAGAGTAAAGGGATACAGAAGACATTATGTCCATTTTTAAAATTTACTTTGGTCCCAAGGATCCCTTGAGCCATGTGACTGTCTATTGGAGACAGTAGTCTGTTTTTGTATTTCCCTTGAGTGAGGATGTAAGTCTGATTCACTGTAAAAAGAAACTGAAATGATAACACAGAGCTTTGTCTCTTTTGGGTATGTTACAAGCATGTTCTTTTTATTTGTCTTTATGTACTGCTTGCTTCCTTGCATGCTTAAATTTTTCTGTGTGGGCACAATCTGTTACATATATTTACTGGATGTTTAGTATTGCTTCTCTATCAGGGCTCTAGCTTACAGCCATATAATGTTGAAACACTGGTTCCAATATGGTCCCTAATGTTAAGCAATGTCAAGGCTAGTCAGTATCTAGATAAGTGACTGCTTAAGAATACCAGGTGATGTAAGCTTAGATGTGTCAGTGGTGTAATGGATAATGACTTGGAATTGTTGATCAGATCAGTTCCATTCAATCTTTAAACTGTCCTTTATACTTTTAGATCCTGTTTTTCACATTTTAGAGATAATGTAAAATTTAAGTCTTTCATTTTTTTTTTTTTTTTTTTTTTTAAAGAACTTGAGTTTAGTTTATTTTTATATGCATGCTCCTATTTGTAAGAATTTGATTTTATGAAATGAGTTGCTTTTAAAATAATATAGGATTTTAGTGAAAAAGAACTTTATATTCTCCCAAATTAATGTTCTATTGTTCCAAGATGATTTTACTCTTGAGCCCTTATACATATATAATTGTTTTGCATACAAAATATTTCTTTCTTTTTTTTTTTTTTTTTTTTTTTTTTTTAAGTATATCTTTGTGGTTTATTCATTTTGTCTTAGTGTTAGTATATTATAGATATACTAATGTCTGTTGGAGCTTGGAGAGGAATAACCAAAATATTTCTTTCTAAGTATCTAAACCTGAGCTTCAGTACTGAATATAATGATTACCAGATTTAACATACACATGAGGTGATGAAAAATGTTTTGTTGTGTGATTAAACATATATAATTGAGGATAAGTTGGAATAAATAACTTGGGGAATGTGCAGATACATTAAAAAAAAAAAAATGTAAATCTGAAATATTAAACCCGTTTTTTTCTTTAATGAAGACCAAAACTTCAAATCTTGAATTTTCCTGTCTTTATTAAGAATCTTTATACATAGCCTCTGTAGGAATAAGAAACAAAATCACAGAATGGCATTAAATTGCTAGGCTATGAGAACAAGTTGTTTCCTGCAGATGCTGAGAAATCGTGTATACTGTAAATTTTTTAAATATTTACTTAGGAATAATACTCACCTAACTGAAGTTCTGAAAAGAATAACATCTCTTGTGTATAATATAAAGCTAAAAAAAAGTTTAAATTTAGATGTTTTTCTCTTTCTTGAGGCAAAATCATGTTTTAACATAGGATTGTTTTTGTTTGCATATCATCATGTGAATAAACTGTAATTGGATACAGATATTTATTTTTTTTCTTTTTTTTTTATTGACACTAGGTGGATATAATATCAGATTTTTGTCTATATTTACAAAATTAGTTCACTATGAAGATATTTGAACCAGCCACCATGTCCTCTGTTTTTGCTTGTCATTAGAAACTGCTATGTAAAACAACTTTAGGTTTGGTAAGTGTATATTTTGTACATCTTGGCAATAGTGCTGTCACATAGAAGCATTGAAAGTTAACACTTTCACTGCTGCATTGTTATGGTACTGCTGGCTGTGCTGGTCTTTACTGGAAATAATTGACTAATGGGGATTTCTCATAGGCACTGCCATTTTAGTCATTATCTACTCTGTAGTACATATTAAGCTAACCGACAACACAATATAATAAAAATACATCCCAAAGTGGCTTGTATTGTAAGCCATGTCTACACTGATTTGGAAATAGCACAAAGCTCCAGTAAGTTTATAACACAAATGCTAGGGACTGTCATTTCATGTCTTAAATGTCTGACGTGTTAGGAAGGGACAGATTTTGGTTTAGAGAAGAAGAAAAAAAGCTTAGACCCAGTTTGGGATTTTAATGGAAAAACAAATCTTCCATAAGCTGTATTAAATTTATATCTTATAATATTTACTAATTGTCATTCTCTTGTCATTTAATGATAAATGTATTCATCTTAACTACTAATCCTGTGAAAAAAAAAAAAAAAAAAATTTAGTCCATTAGCATATGTCAATGTTTGACAAAAAAGGCTGTGGATTGATTGGGATAAGTCTCCGCAAGCAATTCCAAAAAACTGAGCTCCATTGATTAATGGTAATGTGGTGAGATCATTGAGGTATTATTAATCTATAGTTATTAAAAATGCAAGGAAATAAAAAATATACATTTATACATCCAACATCTGCAACATGTCCATATGTTTTGTTGCAAAGTGTTCTGTCTCAACATGAAAAATGTTGATCTGTATGCCAATGCGCAAGGCTGCATCCAGAAAAAATAAGAAAATGTAGGGATTTTGTTGGTTTATTTTACCCCACTTGCCATATTCCCTGGATTTTGCACCAACCAATTACCTTTCTCTATCACTGCAAAATGCTTTGATGGTAAAAACTTTATCTAATGAAACAGATTTAACAATTAATCAAATTTTTTCCACATAAAAACCTGTGAAATTCTGCTGAAATTGTATTTCAGACTGCTTGAAGTGGCACCAAATCATTGCAAATTGTGTGATATATATAATGTATATGCATTTTTTTAAACAGAAATTATAACCCTACCTAAATTAAACCAGCAATGTCCATTTTAATCTTTCAATTATATTTTCTTTTTTAATCTTTTGGAACATTATTTCACATCCAGATGGAAATAGTGATTAAATTGTTAGAAGTCAGTAAAGAAAAAAAGTTTCACTTTTTTTTACTTAGAATTGTATTCAACCACAATTTTGAGTTAAATTTAAAATAACTTGTTTAAATGAACACTTGCTTGCTGACCTGTGTGTGTTATTTTTAATCATTTAACTCCAAACAAGGCAATAATGTCCCTAAGATGCAAGGGCTTACTGGGAGTGAAAGAAAATAAAAACTGTAGTGAGAAGAAACGATAGAACAGGTTCAGGAAGACGGATGGTGAATGGCATTGCATTTAAATTTAAGATTATAGGGGGTAGGGAAGGAATAAAATAAGATTTTCACAGGCGATAAGTGTGAGGAAAAACTATTAGGATGTAACTTAATGGTTACATCTATGAACATATTATCTATATGTGTTACATCTATTAATCACTCCCACATAATCTGCATTACCAAACATTTACTGGGAATCTTGTAACATTACAACCCCCTGCATCAGATGGGGTAGGACTGTGTACAATGCAAGCAACTTGCCATAGATTTTAATTCAAAATTGTTATGCAAACAAATTCCACACTAGATGTGCAACATAGTTTGTTTATTCTACCCCCCTACCCACAAAAAATATTCTTGCAAAATAGCAGCCATTTGTATCTTGTGCAAATATATAGAAGTCAGCTGTAGATACCCTCTACACCTATATCATTTTTTCACCTGACACCAACTACATTTGTTTTTATAGCTTCAAAGATAGGATGGTATAATTGAGGGTCACTTAATCATCCAAGTGGATGACCTGATTTGATGAGGAAAAACAAAATCTGTGCATATAGTTTCCATATGTCACATGGATTCCATGTCACATAGTTTCCATATGTCACTGATCTTTTGGTGACACATTTGTTGGGCATTATAATAACAATGTTGAAAAAAAAAATATCCTCCTTTGACTGGACTTTTCATACTTTGTATGCCTGATGAGATACAAGAATTCTCTGCTACTCACAGATGTCAATTGTTATTTATATTCCCCCGCTACTAAAACAACTGGTTCCTTCATAACACTTTAAATTCATAATTTATTCTTGCTCTTTCACTGCTAGATATTTTGGCAGTTTTGTCTGAGGATTAAGGGGAGTGAGTAAATATGTATTTCTAAATGGGGGAGGGCCTGCCTACCTTTTTGTAAGCTTAAAATCTTATTCTCCACTTGGGACTTCAATGTTAATTGCTTTGAAATCTGGATGGCACTGGTAAACTAAAGAGAGCTGAAGAAAACTTTGTGTCAACAGAATTGACCTCCAAGAAACTGAACTTGAAAGATTTGGCTTTAGATCAGGGGTTCTGAAACTCTACCCCATCAATCCCTTCATGGAATCTTTGATTCGCCACTTTGACCCTCACACATGTACAAAAAAAATATATAAATTCTTTATTCAAAGATAGGAATTCTTTTAGCCATTTCCTTCAGTGTCTTGATGAGATTCCTTTAACATTTTTGTTATTCCTATCCAATTTCTATTTCTCTTCTAACAAATAATTGTCATCCTTAATAAGTGAGTATGTGACATCCCCTAACATCTAATCAAGGAGTGAAATAAAAATATATTTACATTGTCCTCATATTTGTCATATTAATGACATTTCAGCCATTGTATGCCCTGACCTCTTTCAGGTGATTGGAATTAAAAACTGAACCCTTTATTTCATCCACCAGGGTAGATTGTTCTAGTTCCACATTCCATGCATCTTCTGGATATTTTAGTTTTTCCCTTTAACTCAACTCTCAAAGTTATTTGTTCACTTCTGCTGCGTCCAGGTAATGAACTAACAATACTTCAGGTCAAATCACTGGATTTTCAATGCTTTTATCTACTGGTTTAGTTTATACTTAATTTCAATAAAGTGCTTATTTTATGTTTCATCTGTTTTTTACATATTTAAAATGTCTTCCTTTCCTCAGATTTCTCAGTACTAAGCCCTATAGGTACCCACCTACTTGAGTCTTAGTGTTATACAATGAAGGAGTTGTCCCTAAGCATCACCAAACCTCTGCACACCTTTGCCTGAATGTGTTGAGACATGAAACACTGTTGCTGCTTGATGCTGACCTCAGTGTCCACTTATATAGTGAAATTAATGAATGTCCTCTAACCTAGACCACTGTCATATTAAAATATGCCTCTCAGGTTGCCCACTTGAACATTCACATCTGCTAAAATAACTAAAATCTAATATATATATATATATATATATATATATATATATAGTGTGTGTGTGTAACAATTGAGGGCCACTGTGCAAAATTGGGGCATGAGACATACAAAAGTCAAGACCACATTTGTCCACACATGAAAAGCTGCTACACTAACAAGCTACAAAGAGACCACCCCAAACAATGGTGACACGGTTCACAATCAGAACTAAATTGTAATGGACTCTTTTATCCCCTGTTATTACTAAGCATGCATAGATGTATTGACTGTCACACAAATGATGACCTACCCACCCAAATTCAATTTTTTTTTTTTTTTTTTTGAAAAGGAAAAAAAAAGACACTTAACAATATTTCATTGTTTCTCACATACATACATAAATTATATTTATTTCTTACTACTTGGCTCTAAAAAGGAAATAAAATGCATTTAAATTTGGAAAACCAATATTCAACATGACTAATGTTGCCCATAACTAATGTCTCTCATAATTTTTATATAAGTTCTTTCTTGATATATAACTTGACTTTGGGCGAGTGGGCTATTATTTTGCACCCTTCTCAATTGCTACACAGAAAATAATTGTACTTGAATTAAACAAATTATTTACAATATAATAGATATTACTTCTTGCCGTCAATTTTGACAGCACGGGTACACACTAGTTTTTATAATCATAAAATATAGTATTTCCTCTTTACCTCCCCATGCCAATACCCAATGTCTCTCTAAAAAATACCAATTTCATTTGTTTGTAATATTTCAGGTGTTGAATAATCTTGGTATTCTTCATCAAGTTAAGAGATTGTCTGGTGCCAGTGCTGGTGCAATGTTAGCTGCTCTTATCAGCGTTGGCTTTTCTGAAGATGAAATTCTGGATTTTCTCGCCCAAGATGTTGGAAGGATTTTCCTTGGTAAGTTAGAATTTTTTTTTTTTTTTTTCCTCTCTCTCCATAATTTCTTTAAGGCTTTCTCTGCTAAATTTAGGACCTATCAAGGCTATATAAACTGCAGTATATTACATCTCTGAGGCTGGTAAAGAGTTAATGAATTAAGTGATCTTTGCTTGGTCTTCTCTCCTCTTTTCATTAATTTTCTTTTGCAAAGTGAGCATATTTAGTATTACAAAATATAAAGGATTGCCTCTTCATGAACCCACGCTTTAGCCCAAAACTCCATGGTTGTGACCCTTACCCCTCAGTCCTTTCAAAGAATCTGGAATATCTTAATGCCTCATCAACTTCCAATGTTCAAAACATTTGATTATTTTACTGTTATAATATAATATTGATTATTTTAATGTTTGTAAGCACTTCCAGTCCCATAGGGAATGCTGGGATCAAGACAGATCCAACAGGGAGTTTGAATAAATATGTTGAGTTTACGTATTGTCGTCTTTGTGTTGCTCCAACTTTTTAGTAGCCAGTCTAATGTTTTCACCCTAAACCCGTTGGAATATGGTGTTAGAAGTGGGATATGAATCTTTTTCAAGGCTATCTACTCATTCTCAGTGTCTGTTATCTTAAATGAAACCTCAATACCTTTTTGTTTACAACATGAATAATAGACCCCTGTTTGTATAATGTCTAAGACAACTAAATTTACAAATAAAAACTGAAATGTTCATAGCATGCAGGGGCAGATCCAGGTTAGTGGAGGACTTACAGGGTGCAGATTTAAGGTGCTTGTTCTTTTCTATGTACACAAAGACCTTCAGTTAGACTATGATAAAATCTTGAACTCTTATGCAAATAAGAATCCACAAAAATTGACTTTAGTAAATATTCTTTCATAAACACTATATAATCACACTTTGAATCTAAAAATTTGAATTTACAATTTCACATATCGAGTAAATAAAAGAATATATATATATATATATATATATATACACTCTCTCTACTCATTTCTATAACCTAATATATATGATCACGGAATTTAAAATTTTGAATTGAGATTTTTACTGAGGAACACATCCTCTCTAACTGAAAATGTTTTATCTGCCCCTTGGATGGCTCTCATTTCAGTACAAGCCTATTCTGAAAAACTTAACTTTGGTTAATACAGCCGCTCTTCACTTAACTAGGTTATGTTCCAACAAGCTGATCACCATGTGAGAAACTGTACGCAGACTCTGCGATTTCAACATTTCTAATTCATTTTTAAATGTTTATAAAGTAGAGTAATAGCATACTGAATAGTAAACAAATTTAAAAACAGTCTTCTAATCTTTACATAACTTCAGTTTGGGGGAGATATACACTAAAAGTACTGAGCAGAATGACCAGTGTGTGTATGTGTGAGATATATATATATATATATATTAATGGAATTCATTTTATTTTTTCTTTAATCCAACACATTTTTATTACTTCAAACATTATTTTTAGTGGATTCCCATATTTGAGTACACTGTTTGAATGGCATAAAAAACTTTAAAAATTTTTCTTGAGTAACAGGCCACTAGACAAAATATTCTTTAAAAGAAATGGTGTGTCTGTCCACTAAAAATAATTGTTTTAAGTCATGTATTCAATAAATCAAGAGTTAATCAACTAGATAAGTTTTTTTTTTTTTTTTTTTTTTTTTTTTTTTTAAACTTTTCTCCATTTCTTGAACATTATAGTTCTAGTTATCTATTGAGCACTTTCGTCAAATTTTGTTAGCCTGAGAAAAATGTTAAATTCTCATAATTTTCATATAAAAGCCAAAAATGTTTATATAAAATTGAGTTTAACATTAACAGTTTATTATTATTATTATTATTATTATCTTTGGTTTCTGGTGTATATATATATTTCTTTCTGGGTCCCAACCAGAGACCTAAGGTCAGAAATGGCATCATGACATTTTCCACTGAGCAGTTTAAAAAAAAAAAAAATCACACATTTTATATAAATAAAGCCCTTTGTACCCACAAGTAAAACCCACACCTTACAATCTTTTGTATTTCTTTAAGGCATAAGCTAACAGGGATTCTTTCATTGAGTCTATTGGAATCATTGCCAATCAATCCAAGGGATCCAACTACAACTGGAATTTCAACACCCCGCCCATGTTTTTAGATTTTTTTTTTTTTTTTTTTTTAGTCTCCAGTGACTGCCATGCCCAATAAAGAGGCAGTCTCTAATAATGTTGTTGTTAGCAGCAGCAGCAGCTTGGGATGAATCTAAGTTCAAATTCTAGTCTAGTTCATTGTATTAACTTACATGCAAATACCTTTTTTGTAAAAGGTCTGGAGGCATGTCTTCTCACTACAGGTTAAATCGTAGACTGGACTCTTTAGCCATGGTTGGTAACCAGTCTAGAAAAGTAATTCTGAAATCAAAACCAGTTAAGCATGGGGCAAGCAACTCCATTTTATAAAAACTGACTTGTCTTTGCTTAGTGTGCTGAGAGTTGTGCCCCCCAATACTCCTTGGAGTCTACAGCATGTGAGTAATGTACTGTGTGTGTCTGCCTGCCTGTCTTTAATAAGACTCTTTGACTATGTGCAAGCAGCCAAAATTCAAATTTTAGCATGCACCAGGTAAAATACCTATATTGGATTTATTGAGATTTTAGGGCTAGTTATAATTGAAGCAGGTGGACTAACTGGAGTGGCTGTACTAATCTTATTGTGGAAGATTGTACTCTTTATTTGTGATTGCTGTAATACATTTCAACAGTTGTACTCTCTGGCCTTTGTGAATGTGGCATCTGGTATTCTTTGAGGAACTTGGAACATATTTCATGACACCATTTTTTTTTTCTCTTTACTAATTAGGACATATTTCTTTTTTGACAATCCAAGAGAAATTTTGCTGGTATCTTGATTGAATTTACTCCTCTTACAGATAAATGAATGTAAGCCTGAGCCTAAGATGGCTTTGTTCTACAAATATTTGCATGCACTCATACTGAAAGAAAAATAACTTAATAGAAGTGAAACTATGAAATGAATCTAAAATCCTTGTCTGCTTATATTCTTCTCTACCTTGAAGGCATGAACCTGTAATGAACTTGCAAAGAAAACTAAAGACTTTGTTTTAAGGTAAACATATAGTAAATTGAATTTTTTAAATCTTTTTCAGATCATAAATGGGGATATTTCAGTCTTCTCCCAAATTTAGTTAATTTGTATGGCTGGAACCCTGGCCACAAAGTCTATGACTGGTTTGGCGAAGTCCTGGGTAAAAAAACAGGAAATCCTGATATTACCTTTATGGAGGTTGGTATTAGTATTTTGATTGACTCTTTTTTTATTGAAATCATTTTTGCTTTTTTTGTTTTTTTATTATAAAGTCTATTGTGTTAATTCTTGTCCCTGTGACTGAGAACATAAAATAGGGTTTGCTTTGAAATGGGACAAAAAGACTGATGCTGTAAAGAAAAATGTTTCAAATAAGATCATGTAAGACACTTGTACAATATTTGCACTCTTGATTAGCAACTTTTTTTTTTTTTTTCATCTAGAATTTGTGGAAATGTTGATATCTACATATCGATATTTGTATTTGCTGCTTCACTGTAATCATCAGAATTAAGATTTCAAGTATGTCTGAAATCTTCATCACTTCCTTAAATCTTCCTCTAATAAACATTCTACTGACTGATTAAATTCAATATTCATGTGTTTTCAGTTACATTCCAACTGCTTCTGTGTAACTAACCTTTATCACTCTGTATGTAACTTCATTTGCTGTACACAGTTTATCCTGCCACTGAAGGTGGCTCTGATCCCTGTCTTTGTTTGAATTTCATAGTTGCGTTGTCATATCCTGCTTTTCAACAGAAAACAACTTTGAGTGAAATTAACGATAAGGATGCTGCAATTGACAAACCTTGAAAAATAATGCAGTAGAAAGGGAAATAGTATTAATAATGTAGAGTGCTAAAGATAAAATGTTATTGAGCTTAAGAATTTTAATTAAAAAAAAAAAAAAAAAAAAAAGTTTATCCTGCCATGCCACTAAAGGTGACTGATTCCTGAACAATAGTGTTTGAATTTCATAGTTGTTTTCATATCCTGCTATGACAATAGAAAACAATTTTCAAGGAAATTAACAATAAGGATATTGCAATTGAGAGCCTTGAAAAAAGAATGCAGTGGAAAAGGAAGTAATACTAATAATGTAGTGCTAAACGTTAGTGATCACCACTTTTACTCAAGATTACTGGATACAATTCTTAGAGATTATATATTTTTGCTACTAACAGTAATAATCTTCCATTGAGCAGATGTAACTTGTGATCCAAGATAAGTCTTTTATGTATAGCTGACAAATTGGAATCCTCCCCCCCTGTAGAAATGAAGTTGTCATTTTCATGCAAAAAGAATCTACAGGGACATAGAAATTTGATAAATTTTGAATTTATTCATTTATAAACTTCAGGTATCTGATCTATTCTGGCATAGCCTTGTGCATAACATGGCCCTGTTTTTCTGAAGCTAAAAACAAGGAATAAATTACATCCTTAAGTATAATACGACCCTGTAGCACAGCCATTCTTCACTTTACCATATCCATTAAAATCTCAAATATATTTTACTGAAATGTTTAATTTTCCACGATATTAAAGAATAGAAATGAATGGGATGTTTTAACCATTCAGTGTTTCTTTGAATTTCCATTTCAAAATTTATTTTCAGGGAAAGGTGCTAACTAGACATACCTGGTAATACATTTTACGGTGTTAATTATTCTGCCATACTTTTCTGTTTGATATGACTTTATTATAGTTCTATATATTAATAAACTATGAAAAGATACATTGTCTTTCATTAAGAATAAAGAAAAACTTTGAAAAAAAAAATCCAAATTCAAAACTTATATTTTGATGAAAACTGATTGAGGCCTGTTTAAAGTC